GATCTAATCATAAAAACTTACTTCATCTGGCTTAGGGAATAAATCACGCTTTCATTATTTATTTATCTTTTTATTACTATTTATATTACATTTAATCACATATACCTTTACAGTATATAACATCTCTTTTTCCCAGGACAGTCAATTAGGACAAACACATTACTTTACACATCATCAGCAGCAAATAGCTTTTCTCTTTTTTCAGATTATTATTATTTTTAATTCTCATTTTTTAAACGTTCAATCACTATATATAATTAGGCTTGTGAAGAGAATTTATCTAACTTGAAATACTTCTTGGACCAGTCCAGTTGAGAATACTATACATGTTATCATCAACAGGTAATAAACCATTTCTGTGTCTCACAAATGTTATGTCTATTTTTTCTGCTTTCCTTCCCTATACTCTTCTCTCTCTCCCTCAACCCCCCATTCCACACTGTCTTCAGTATCCATAACTATTATCACTGGTTTTATACCCTCCAATATTTCAATCTCTACCATATAGTACAAATAGTCACTATATATTAAGCAGATACATAACAATATCCTTCTTTCATAGCCTGGCTTGCTTCACTAAGCAATAAATCTTTCATATCTGACCATTTTCTATCAAATGCCAGGGTCTCGTTTTTTAGGGCTAAATAGCATTACATAGGGTATATGTGCCACAATTTTTCAATGCATTAATCTGTTTGTGGACATTTGGGTTGGTTCCATGTCTTAGCAACCGTGAATAATGCCACAATAAACATTGATGTGCAAGTGCTTTTCCAACTAAGCATTCTCCTGTCCTTTGGGTAAGACACCCAGAAGTGGGATTGCTGGATCAAATGGTAGTTCTATTTGTAGATCTTTGAGGAATTCCATTTTGTTTTCCACAAGGGCTGGACCAATTTATATTCCCACCAACAGTGTAGGAGAGTTCCCCTTTTCCCAAAACCCTGCCAACACTTACCACTTTTTGTATTTTTAATGTTCACCATTTTAACAGGGATCAGGTGGTATGGCATTGTGGTTTTAATCTGCATCTCCCTTATGATAAGGGATATTGAACATTTCCCCATATGCATTTTTTGATTGTTCTTATATCTTCCTTAGAGCAATTTTGTTCAGCTCATTTTACCATCTTTTAATTGGGCTGATCATCTTTTTTGGGGGTAAGAAGCTTGAGTTCCCTGTGTATTCTGGCTATTAGTCCCTTATCTGAGGCATAGTTTACAAAAATATTCTCCCACTCCAAGGGTTGTCAATAAACACTCATTATTTTATCCTTTGATGTGCAGAAACTTGTTAATCTGATATAGTCCCACTTGTCTATTTTGGGGATTATTGCTTGTGTTTTAGGAGTCTTATTTAAGAAGTCTTTGCTTACCCCAATGTCTCCCAGAGTTTCCCAGTAGTTTTATAGTTTGAAGTCTTAGGTTCAGATCTTTGATTCATTTTGAGTTGATTTTTGTTAATGGTAAAAGATGATATTTAGTTTCATATTTCAGCATGTGGATGCCCAGTTTTTCTAGCACTATTTGCTCAATGTATAGTATAGTATAATGCCAGTTTTTAATGGCAAAAATTTGGTTCCACTAAAAGTTCAGAATGCTACAGAGAGCTACTACTTTTTCCAGGAAGTAGGTAACAGCTTAAAATAGAAAGCAAAACTTGCTAGCAGCATGGTAACTTAAACTGCACCTAACCGCAGCTTGTCCACTAAAAATGGCATGGACATTAGCTAGTGACAGAAGTGAGAATAGGAAACAAGATGTGAACACCAAAAGGAGATATATATGTACTGTCAAGATGGTGAATTGACCAAACAGAGCTACAAGGATCTTAAGGGATAATTCTAAAGGAGATCAAATATTTTACTCAAATGATTTTAGAGCCTTTCTGTAGAGATATAAATATATGTATATATATAATACAGATAAATGTTTCTCAATTAAAGATAGGACCAAAGCTATAGTTATAATTTATAAGACTATTCATCCACCTGAATTTTCTATTTATTTGAAGTCAGTGCATTAAATGTTCTCCAGATATAATTACTTGACAATCTTTTTATAGCTATAAATCAAGTAGGCATAATTTTTTTAAAGGGCATTCAGGTTAAAAAATTTCCTTCTAAAGACCAGCCCTTGGCATAATGGCTATGTCACTGGACTCCCATGTAATCAATCACAGTTTGAGTCCCAGACCCGGGGGGCTTAAACTCACACTGGGTGCATGTGCTTGCATGCCCAAGATCCCACGGGGAGAATGGAGGAGAAGGGATTGTGGCATGACCATCCCCAACTTGGGCGTGACTTCTTGCTTTCTGTCTCTCTGTCTTTCTGGTGAGCACATGTGCCCTGTAGCAAAAATCTCTCAAAAAAAATTTTTTTTTCTTCTAAGATGTGCATAAAAACTCATGACAAGCCCTATTAAGAATTATTAATAAACATATCAAAAAGTGCAATACATAGAAGTCACATTTTCCTCTTCACAGTAAATATTATCTGATTTCCAGTTTAAGACTGGAGGATTGAAAATGCACAAGAAAGCTTTTTAAGTATTTTTATGTTATAATATTTTTTTAGGGGCCAGCATGTGGTGGTTAAGGGCACTGGACTCCTACATGGCCAACTGCAGTTTGAGTCCTGGATCTGGCAGCTTGCTTTCTCACTCCCTTTCTCTCTCTCTCTCTCCTCTCTCTTTCATTCTGTCCCTATCTGGTCAAATTAAAATTAATTAATTAATTCTTAAAAAATATTTTTTAAAGATTTTCATAGTTTTCTTTGTAAAAGTCTTTGATTTTCTTAGTTAGTTTTATCCCTAGGTATCTTATACATTTTGTGCCTATGGTAAAAGGAATTCCTTTCTTCAGATCTACCTGTTCAACTTGTTGTTCATACACAGAGATGCTATAGATTGCTGAATGTTGATTTTTGTATCCTGACACTTTACTGTACTAATTTGTTACTTTGAAGTTTTTTCATAGAAACTTATGGGTCTTCTAAGTATATCATCATGTCATCTGCAAATAAAGATATTTTAAACTTTTCTTTGCCTACTTAAATGTCTTTTACATTATTCTCTTTTCTGATTTCATTGGATGAGACTTCCAAAACTAAACCAAAAAGCAGTGGAGAAAGTTGGCACCCTTGTCTAGATCCAGTTTTTAGTGGAAAAGCTTTGAGATTTTCCCCATTCAGAATAATGTTAGCTATAGGTTTTTCATATGTCTTTCATTGTGTTGAGAAATGACCCCTCTATACCAATATTGCTGACAGTCTTAATCCTGAAGAGATGTTATATTATATCAATAAATGTCTTTTACATTATTCTCTTTTCTGATTTCATTGGATGAGACTTCCAAAACTAAACCAAAAAGCAGTGGAGAAAGTTGGCACCCTTGTCTAGATCCAGTTTTTAGTGGAAAAGCTTTGAGATTTTCCCCATTCAGAATAATGTTAGCTATAGGTTTTTCATATGTCTTTCATTGTGTTGAGAAATGACCCCTCTATACCAATATTGCTGACAGTCTTAATCCTGAAGAGATGTTATATTATATCAAATATTTTTTCTGCCTCAACTTAAATGATCATATGATTTTTATTTTTCTTTCTGTTAATAAGGTGTATCACATTTATACTAGTATGTTAAACCACACTTGCTTCTCTTGAATAAAGCCTACCTGGTCATGATGAAAAATCTTTGTTATATGTTGTATATGATTTACGAGTATCTTGTTGAGAATTTTTACATCTATATTCATCAGTAATATTGGTCTGCAGTTTTCCTTTTTTTGTCATGTCTTTATCTGTTTTGGGAATGAGGATGATGGAGGCTTCATAAACTGAATTTGGGAGGTTTCTTTCCTTTCGAATGTTTAGAAATCATTTGAATAGAAGGGTGGTTAACTCTTCCTTATAAATTTTGTAGAATCAGAAGTGAAACCATCAGAACCTGAGCTTTTCTTGGCCAGGAGGTTATTTATTACTGATTCAATCTCATGGCTTGTTATGGATCTATTCAGATTTTTTATGTCCTCCTAATTCAAACTTGGTAGATTGTATGCATCCAGGAATTTGTCCATCTCCTCCATATTCTCTTGTTTGTTGCATAGAGTCACTCAGTATCCTCTAATGATGTTTTGTATTTCTATTGCATCTGTTCTAATGTTGCTTATTTCATTATATATTTGATTTATCTGGTTTCTTTCTTTCTTCTTTTATCAGTCTAGCTAAATAAAGGTGTGTTGATCTTGTTAATCTTTTCAAAGAACAAGCTTTTGCTTTCATTTATTTTCTGTATTAGTTTTCTATTTCATTTATTTCTGCTCAACTTTTCATGATTTCTTTTCACTTGGCACTTTTTGAGGTTTTGCTGTTTTTCCATTCCCCTCAGGCATGATATTAGGTTGTCTATTCGCCACCTTTCCATTTTTTTCTTATGCACACTAATTGCTATGAATTTCCCTCTTATGACTGCTTTTGTGGTGTCCCGTAGATTATGGAAACTCCTATACTCGTTATCATTTGTTTCCCTAAATTTTTTTTATTTCAGACTTAATTTCTTCAGTAGTTAAGATGTCATTCAGAACTAGGTTGTTTAGTTTCCATGTGTATTATTTTGCTTGCTTTTGTTTTTGTTTTTTTAGAACAACTCAGCAAAATAAAATTCTGGTTTATTGTTGGACAACATTGTTTCACACATACATCAAACAGGCCAAAAATAAATAAACAGCAACTTCATAGACAAAAAAGGAAAAAAAAAAACCTTTTATCTTTGGCCTTTTTAACCATCTCATACTAAACCAACTACTTATAGTACAGCTAAGTACATACACAAAAAAAGTTACTGCAATGCTCAGAATAAGATTGTTTTTTTGTTGTTGCTTTTGCTTTTTTTACAAGGTTTTTTTTTTTCTCCTTTGAGATTATAGTGAACATGGTCACACCACAAGTAAAGCTGAAGTAGGACAGAGGACGCTCTGAAGGCTGATTTAGTCATCGGAGATCATTAAAAATGGCTGACCCCTAACAATATGTACAAAAATATAAAATGTAAATAAAAACTACAAACAAATTTTCCTTTTTAAAGTACTTTAAAGAAAAAAAAGCAGGGCCTTGGAAGTTTTGGTTCTTTTTTCCTCCTCTGTTGCAAATTGGCGTTGTGGTTTTGGCTGGGTGGTGGAGAGCGCGTGTCATCTGCGGGTGGCGCTGCCCGCAGGTGGGCGGCCTGGCTGGCCTCTCTACTCGAAGGTGACCACGTTTAGATTCTGAGACGGGAAGTGGAGGGTGACTAGGTCATGGCGGCCTTTCCTTAAGCTTAACTTTTCCTTTTTTTTGCTGTCTAGTCATCCTCTCCGGTCTCCTGCTTCTTGGTGTCCACACCCTCGTCCTCTTCATCCTCAGCTGCCCGCTTGCCCATAGCTGCCTCAGCCTCCTCCTCTTCATCTCCGGCCTCCTCTTCACCGTCGCCTTCCTCCTCTTCCTCCTCTTCCTCCTCCTCCCCGCCTTCTTCCTCTTCCTCTCCCTCGTTCTCAACCTCCTGCTCCCCGTTTTCCTCCTCAGCGTTCGCGTTAGCGGGGGCATCTCTTCCGTTCTCCGCCTCCTCCACAACTTCCTTCTTCTCCTTCAAGTCCTTGGTGGTGATCTCGGAGCTAGTGTCCAGGGCCGCGTCTGACATGGGGCACGCCGGTGATCCGATGCAACGGATTACAAAGGAAGTGAGAGTTCGGGACCCTGGCGATAAAGCTGCGGGAGGCTTTCATCCAGTCTGTGTCTCTTGATTGGTGAATTTAATCCATTAACGTTCAATGTTATTATCGATATTTCTGAACATGTTCCTATCATTAAGTAAGTCATTTTCTTAGTTGTTTTTTGTTCTCTTATATCTATCTGTCTGACTTTTTAGTTTTCATGGTATAGGATTCCCTCCAGAACCTCTTGAAAAGCTGGTCTAGAGTTGGTAAATTCTTTCAAGTTTTGTTTATCTGAAAATGTTTTTATCTTTTTTTTTCCCATATGAAGGATAATCTTACTGGCATTAGTATTTTTAGTTGTAATTATTTTTCATTTAACATTTTAAATATGTTCCCCCATTCCTTCCTCACCTGCCTTGTTTATGGAGAGAGGTCCAATGTTAGCCTGATGGGATAAACTTTGTAAGTAACTTGAGGTTTCCCTCTTGCCAATTTTAGTATCTTGTCTTGGTCTGTGAATTTGGCCAATTTGGCCATGATGTTCCTTGTAGAGGATCTTTTTGGACTGATTCTTTCTGAGGTCTTATGAATTTCTTGGGTCTGGATATTTGAATGCCTCTCTAGGTTTGGAAACTTTTCTTCTAGCATTTCATGGGATAAATTATAAATTCCCTTATTATTTTCTTCCTCTTCTGGGATATCAATTATCCTGATGTTGAGCCCTTGATGGTTTCTAGTATTTCTTATATATAATCCTCACTTTTCTTGGTTGTTTTCTCAGTACTTTTGATAATTACTTTATAAACCAGAGGTTTTGTCTTCTACATTCGAGATTTGATTGTCTGTTTGTTCTAATCTACTTTTACAACTTTTGAGGGAGGTGTTAATTTCCTGTATTACATTCTTCATCTCTAACAATTCTGTTTGATTTTTTTTTTGAGAGTTTTTGTTATAGAGTATGTGCACTTGCCAGAAAGACAGAGAGAGACAGAGACAGAAAGCAAGAAATCACCCACCAAGGGGGTTGGCCACACCACAATCCTTTCTCCTGCATTCTCCTCTTGGGATCTTGGGCAGGCACACACATGTGTCTGGCATGAGTTTAAACCACTGGGTCTAGGACTCAGACCGCAGTTAACTACATGGGAGTCCAGTGACGTAGCCATTTCTCCATCTTCTGGTCCCTGTTTGATTCTTTTTCATGGTATCTATTCCTTCTTTCAAATCATGAAAGGACTTCTCATCTCCTGGAGCTCATTCTCTTTTTCTCTTGCATCTCATTTAGTGTGATCACTATAAATATTCTGAACTGTTTATTCAACATTTCCACAAGTTTCATCGTGTTGTATATGAGGAATTAGTGTTTTCCCTTGCAGAGACATTTTGTTAGTTGGTCTTATTTCTTGTACCTCTGCGATGGTTTCTATTCATCTGGTAATCTATATGTTCCTTCTTAAATTATTTCAAGTATCTCTAAGCATTCAAAGGTGTGCAGAAGTAAGAAATTAACAGTCTGTTCTGCTCTGCATCCCCATTGCTTACCAGAACCTTGCACTGTTGTCACCGGTCCTGGGTGACTCAAGTCCTCCCTATTTTAAGAGAACAAGTGCACCTGAAACTGAGCTGCTGAGCTTCAGTTCAGTAACAAAGATATGATCATTGGGCATGCAGGCTATACAAAACACCGAAGTCCTCTGCAAAAAAAAAAAATAAAAGAAGAAGAAGAAGAAAAAGAAAGAAAAAAAACATACACTGAAGTCCTGAGAGTCCAAAAGTTGAGTGGGGACAGGGATGAACACAGGTCCTAGGCATTAAGTCCTCCAATCACACGCAGACTGCCATGCGACTAGGCCCTTCACTAGAACGGGTGTCTAATGGAATGGGGAGGGGCGCAAGTTCATCTCAAAGTCCTGCAAAACAAACCTGAGAGTCCAAAGGCAAGTGTGGGAAAGGATGAGCCCTGCGTCCAAGCCATTAAACCCTCCAACCCCTGGTAGCCTGCTGACCATCAAGGCCCTTTGCTGGAACGGCACATATCACACTTTTAAAATCCTGGGTTTGGGGCCTTCCTAAACATGGTTCTGTCCAGCTTATTTAAAGTAGTTCATTATAAACTGTTTATTTTTAGTAATTTCTTAAGACATACTGGTACATATTTTAGTATAGAAGATTACTTATCAAGTACAAAATTTATATTCTGCTACTTGATGACAAATAATGCCAACTATAAACCTAAATGATGTTTCAAAAGTTGATAGTTGGAAATAAAGTTTAACTTTGATAAGTTTTTGTAAAATGTGTTATATCAAGAAGTAATGTTAAGAGACTGAAACCAAATTTAAAGACTAGGGAAACCTATATATCTTGCAGCAAATGGTACTTCATGTTAATAAAGGCTGTATTGACTGTGAAAAAAAAAATTAGAAATCATCAACTAAAGAAAACAATATTTTACACATAAAGCATAACACATTCAACATTCTGTGACCTCTCTCTTGAAATAAATGTGAGGCCAAACTCGAAGACAATAAAACTTTAGAAACATGGTTCTCTGAAGGCTTTGGAATTCTGTTTGGGGGATTTTCTTTCGAATTTATGACACAGTCATCCAAATGTCTTCAGTGAATGTTCCTCCATATTGGTAAAATCAGATTCTTGACATCTTCTCTAGACAAGGCCACAAAAAGGATTCTGTTATCCTTCTACAATTTTCTCTTGGGGTTATTTAGAGAATGGGGTCATTTACATGCTCCTGAGTCTTTTTCCAGTTGTGAAAGTTAATAAATCTTGGAAACCTCAGAGAGAAACCATAGTTGTGCAGCTGACCTGTGCTGCTCATCCTCAAAGAGCAAACAGTCCACCTTCAAGACCAGATAAATCATTTCAGTGAGGTATGGTGGAAGGTTCTCGTCTCTAATTTTCTACACTGCTTACTGATGCCAAAAATTTCTTTGCAAAACAGTTGAATAGTTCTAGTCTCTGTGGCACAGTCAGTGACATAGCAGACTGCAGAGCCAGATCCAGAAGCTACTGCCAGCCACGGTTCAATTTCTTAGCCTAATCAACTTGAAAAACATGACAGTGTGTATGTGTGTGCCTAAGATCATGCTGGGCTGGAGAAAGGGGATTGCAACATGACCAAGCCCTGTGGAAGGTGCTTTGTTCTCTCTTACTCTTTCTCTGGTGCACACATATCATGAACTTATACAATAATTGCATGTAGAAGGGAAGGGTGAGATCCAGCAAAGAGAAAGATTACCAAAGTAATCCACAATAAAATATGTTTTTCATATTTTCATTCCACAATAAAATATGTTTTTTTAAATGAATGTAAAAAGTTAGTTAAGTAACCTAGCTAAGGAATGTCCAAGAGAGTAAACCATCAAACAAACACATTTTAAAGTAAATGACACATTTTCAGAGTCAATCCTGATTTGGATAGTGTGGAAAGCTAGAGAAGCACATTATGACACACCGTCAAGAGAAGAAAGGATGCCCTAAATGGTGGAGGAGAAGCCCTTCAGATCTCTTTTTCTCCCACCTGCTCAGGACAAAATGCAGTAATGCCAGCACAGAATGAGTTTTTCTATATTAATAAAGCTTAATTTCCGGGTTTCCTCAATTGCCAGCTCTTTCTAAGGCTCCCTAATTTTATGCTTATAAATTATTTTTCTTTTTTTTCTTTTCTTTTCACTTCTTTTTTTTTTTCCAGAAGGCACATGTGCTTGCTGGAGAGAGAAAGCCAGAAAATTTCTTTGCAAAACAGTTGAATAGGTCGTCTCTGTGGCACAGTCAGTGACATAGCACGGTCAGTGACATCCCCATGGGGCACAGTCACACTGCAATTCCTTCTTCTCTAGCTCTCCCACCTTTCAGGACCTTGAGCACACAAGCCCAGAGTGCTTCTCAAGTCCCCAGACCCAAGACTCAAACTCCACTGTTGTCCATGTGGGATCCAGCTGCCTTGAACACCAGGCCATGGGACTGGCCCCCTTTTTCTTAAGTAAGGTCCCTGGGTTAAATAAATTTCAGCTGGAAAAATATAAACTGGTCCTTGGTATGCCGGGTCGAGATTCTGTAAGAGAGGTACACATGTGAGTCACTCTGATAGGGTCATGGGTGGAAATGAGTGGAGCAGCTTCTTTTACTTGACTGGACAAATGCACCACGGTGCTCTACCAATCAATCTTATTTCCATTTGGTAGTCCTACCCAGCTGTGCTGGGTATACACACACACACACTCACACACTGTACCTGAGGGTGGCTTTCTTGTTCATGCCTCAGACAATTGCTGCTAAGCTGAGGACCCCAAAGCATGTATCATCTCCTTGGGCATATTATGCAACCATCTCCCCTGAGAACTGGGCTTCTTACACTAATGTGGGGCACATTCCCTTCTCTAGAGATCAGATCCCTTCTGCTACAAGGGAATTTCACTAAACAGCTTCCTCCAAGACACTCACTTCTTTTCTCAATCTTATCCTCTTTCTTGTTCTTTATGATAATTTTTGGACCTGCGATATCCATAGTATGATGATTAATAAACAAATGTTAGTTTGTTCTTCTATGTTGCAGAAGGCCCTAATCAGCAAACTCTCCCAAGAAAAGAGGGGACCTGACATTACGTCTTTTCAGTACAGACAGAAAAAGAAAGAGGTTCAGCCCCGCTGCAGAGGCACAAGTAGTAGGTCCTGCTATGTGATACTGGAGACACATGGGAGGCCCAAGTCTGGATCCCCGGTGGACCTGCACCTGCCGGGCACACCCAGCCATGCTCAGTGATCCCACTGGCTGGAAGTCATGTGAAGATTGTGGCAAGACAAAACCCTAAAGAATATACCTGTCTCTCTCTCAAATAATAAACTTAAAAAAAAAAAGGAAGAAAGAAAGAAAGAAGAAAGAAAGAAGGAAAGAAAAAAGAGGGAAGGGGAAGCACATATAGCAATCCTGTGCTAAAATAGAACAATTTTTTTAACAAGGCCATATGTAGCTGA